ATGTATATGTATATATATATATATATACGTATATATATATGTGTATGTGTGTGTGTGTGTGTGTGTGTGTTTGTGTGTGTGTGTGTGTATCTTTTGTCTATAAGAATATATTGCTTTTTCCCTTCCTCATGTGCTCAATCATGATGTTCGCCATCATCAAATTTGATTTTTTGCTGTCGTCATGTGCCAGTCAGCATGACAAATATGTTTTGATTCCTTGCCACCTTACATTTACTGGCCTTAAGAGTACATTTCCTTTTTCTTTTCTTTTTACTGACAGATACTATGATAAGCTTGTTGAGCGGCGAGATAACGAAATAATGTCCGTAGATTATAATCCACTAAGAGACCTCCACAACACATTATGCACGTACACGCACTCAAACAAGTGTGTTTACAGACACACACACCAAGAGAAAGGTCGCCATATCTCTTTCGGCGTGCGGACCAAACACACGAATATACCGGTGTGAGAGTCACTCCTTCTGCAGGCTGGGCCGAGGTCTCTGGCTCGCTAACTTCGCCATGTCCTCACGCTGCGTTGTCCAGGCGCTTTATACAATGACACTCCCCTACAACTCTCCCTACGGTATCATTCCATTCACCTATCTATATATACAACTACAGGTCTATGAAATAATTCGATGCACCGTATCACTATCTTTATTATGAGAATTAGAGTTGCAGCCATTAAGTACATTTGATACTTTGTACGTAAAAAATATTTTTTTTTGCCATCAAGATACGCATTTATGTAAAAATATTAGTCACAAATTAGATTTTAAAAATCTGAAGAGAAAAAAGTATACATTTTGAAAGTCATTAGAGAATCCCTCATTCCGCTTTCTTCTTGCCTGTGCTCCGGGATCCGAGGACCCGCGAGCAGACGGCCCCCAGAAGGCGGCGGAGCACGTACACCGCCACGAACACGGCGACGTGGAGCACCAGCAGCACGTCCAGCATGAGGAACTCGACCCACGACAGCTGCGCCGCCGGAGACCGCAGCCGGGGGGCGCCCTTGTGCCGGATCACGTACTCGGTCCAGAACACCGCGCGATCCTTCGGGCTTTCGGGCTGGTCGCGGAGGGGACCCTGCACCTCTGTGGCCCTGGCTTTGTATCTGAGGAAGACGGCTCAGTGTCAGTGAGGATCTGAGGCCTCATGGAACCTGCATAAAGCATGGCTATATGTGTGAAGAGTGTGTTATACGATTGTGTGTGTGTGAGATAATTCAGCATTCATTGATACGAAGCTATAACGGCCCTGCTCATTAAAAGTGAACATCCTTACTTGGGATTCGAGATAATTTCCTGAAGACTGTTGACGATGAGCTCGACCGTCAGCTCCTCCCACACCAGCATCAGACCGAGGCCGTTGTCCTGTATGTTCATGCCATTCTTGGGCTGATCGCCAAAGATGGGGACCGCGAGGACTGGCGTGGAGTGGTAGAAGGACTCCTGAGTGCTGAGGAGTCCTCCGTGGGTGATGAAGACGCGGACGTTTGGATGAGCTGAGAGACCAAAGGTAAAACACATGAGCAATCACCTTCTAGCATTCCCCACTGTGGTTTTCTATCTGTACATTAAGCATCACTTTGTTTCCTATTAAAAAAATCATTTCAAGTCATATTTTCTTTCATTTTACTCTAATGGTAATGAAGATTACCATTTCATTATCATTAACAATAATAGTATTATTGCCAATGGTTATCTTGAACAAAAAACACAAATTCTGGACATTTTGCACTTCAGAACCAGCCAAGATTAACTCACCGAGAATATCCTGCTGCGGCAGCCACTTCCGCATCAGCACGTTGTCAGAGACGCCCTCCAGCGCCACCTCGTACTTCCAGATGACCCGCTGTTTGAGCTGCTTGAAGGCCTCCACGAACATGTCTCGGTATTTCTTGGGCATCGACTGACCTTGAGCCACGGAGCCGAGACTGAAGTACACGACGCCCTCTGACCCTGCGCCGCTGATCCAGGACTCTAAATCCTGTAGGACATCGCAATAACATGGGTCTTCTAACAAATAACAAATGCTTATTAATAATACCATGGAATACATATTTTAAATCTATTTGGATCCCCTTCAGAAATACAAATCTCACCTCAGGAAGGGGCTTGCCAGGACGGCAGTGCATGGCCCCCACTTCCACCTGCGACGGCAGCAGAGGCAGAACATCGTTCATTGTGAAGTGGGAGTTCATCAAGGCAAGGCTCTGGTTACGTTCGATGTCCAGTAGTGGCGGGAGGTCCGGGAACTGGGCCGAAATCTGGAGAAGTGACAGACACAGATGTACGCCACAGTTTTTTCAACTTTTTATTTTGGAAAAAAAAAATCACCTTTGAAGTGTATTTCATTAACTTGTGACATGATTTTCTTTAAACTTTATCGTTTTACTAACAAGCATTAATCAACGATATATTCTAAGTAATTATATGAGCGCCAAACGCACTATAGGCGACAGAAAATGAGACATAATAATCAGATTCTAGAG